CTCTATGTCGTGTCGTCGCTCTGGCATTCATTCTCAGTTTCATACAGAATGGAGGGACAAAAGAGAGGAGGTGCGGTGGGCTTGGCTCCTCGGGGTCGGATGGCGAGCAGAAAGCGCTGACGCTCGAGGATGAGGGGCATCACTCGGGAGCCCCTCTCTAGTAGGAGCTCGGGCGTCGCAGAGGCGGACTATAGAGGAGGAGATAAGCGGCGGAGCCAACACTGATGCATTGATGCAGCCACAGGGGCGGTGCACCCTACAGCCGCATGTTTGGGGAGGGCGCGATGGTTTGGGGTTTAGGGATGGAAGCATTGTCCATGGGGATGGGTACCACGGGTATCGTACCCGAAAACACTGGGCATGGGTCTGATTTGGCACGATTTTGTACCGATGGGTAATGGGTATCCATACCCGCAAATTTTTTGGGTAGGGCATGGGTATAAAATTACTGAAGGAAATATGCCCCACAGGCAATAATAAAGATATTATTTATTTCTTTATTTCATGATAAATGTTTATTATTCATGCTAGAATTGTATTAGCCGGAAACTTAGTACATGTGTGAATACATAGACATACAGAGTGTCACTAGTATGCCTCTACTTGACTAGCTCCTTAATCAAAGATGGTTAAGTTTCCTAGCCATAGACATGAGTTGTCATTTAATGAATGGGATCACATCATTAGAGAATGATGTGATTGACTTGACCCATCCATTAGCTTAGCACGATGATCGTTTAGTTTGTTGCTATTGCTTTCTTCATGACTTATACATGTCCCTATGACTATGAGATTATGCAACTCCCGAATACCGGAGGAACACTTTGTGTGCTACCAAACGTCACAATGTAACCGGGTGATTATAAAGGTGCTCTACAGGTGTCTTTGAAGGTGTTTGTTGGGTTGGCATAAATCGAGATTAGGATTTGTCACGCCGTGTTTTGGAGAGGTATCTTTGGGCCCTCTCGGTAATACTCATCACTATAAGCCTTGCAAGCATTGTGACTAATGAGTTAGTTGCGGGATGAAGTATTACAGAACGAGTAAAGAGACTTGCCGGTAATGAGATTGAACTAGGTATGATGATACCGATGATCGAATCTCGGGCAAGTAACATACCGTTAACAAAGGGAACAACGTATGTTGTTGTGCGGTTCGATCGATAAAGATCTTCGTAGAATATGTAGGAGCCAATATGGGCATCCAGGTTCCGCTATTGGTTATTGACCAGAGAGGTGTCTCGGTCATGTCTACATAGTTCTCGAACCCGTAGGGTCCGCACGCTTAACGTTCGTTGACGATATAGTATTATATGAGTTATGTATGTTGGTAATCGAATGTTATTCGGAGTCCCGGATGAGATGACGGACATAACGAGGAACTCCGTAATGGTCCGGAGGTAAAGATTGATATATGGGAGAGTAGTGTTTGATCTTCGGAAGGGTTCCGGAATTCACCGGAAGGGTTCCGGATGTCTCCCGAAATGTTTGGGTACGAGAACACTTTATTTGGGCCAAAGGGGAAAGCCCACGAGGATCTTGGAAAGTGCAAAAGGAAGTTTTGCAGAGACCGGAGGCTAGACGCCAGGAAACCTGACGTCTAGGGGGTAGACGCCGGGAACCCTGGCGTCTAGCCCTGGAGTCCATGTAGGACTCTTGCCTTTCGGGCAAAACCGACTTTGAGGAGGCTTTTACTCCAAGTTTCGACCCCAGGGCTCAACATATAAATAGAGGGGCAGGGCTAGCACCAAAGACACATCAAGAAGCACCAAGCCTTGTGCCGGCAACCCCGTCCCCTCTAGTTTATCCTCCGTCATAGTTTTCGTAGTGCTTAGGCAAAGTCGTGCGGAGATTGTTCTTCACCAACACCATCACCATGCCGTCGTGCTGCCGGAACTCATCTACTACTTCGCCCATCTTGCTGGATCAAGAAGGCGAGGACGTCATCGAGCTGAACGTGTGCTGAACGTGGAGGTGCCGTATGTTCGGTACTTGATCGGGGCGGATCGTGAAGGTGTACGACTACATCAACCGCGTTGATAAACGCTTCCGCTTAGCAATCTTCAAGGGTATGAAGATACACTCCCCCTCTCGTTGCCATGCATCACCATGATCTTGCATGCGCGTCAGAAAATTTTGAAATTACTATGTTCCCCAACAATTACACCCATGGGTAACCCAATGGACACCCAAAGAAATGAAAGTAGCTCCTATCGCATGTGGGGCCAACATTCAGCTGCTATGGCCCAATCCTCAATCCCTTATTCCCTAAACCGGCCATAGCTTATAGGCTCGCATCCTCCAGCTCGCCGCTCCTCCTACGTCCTATGGGACTCCTTGAAATAATAAAATCTTAAGTCATCACGAAGAGACTCTTGACCATCTTAGACCAGCGATTCCTATTTCCCACCACCGCCTCCCCACTATGTTGGGATTCCACCAACCGCTTATCATACCCCCTTGTTGCCTCCAATAGGCCATTCACCGAAGGAGACTGTTTTGGCACTTGACTGGTCGCCCATCATCACTTGAATTCTAGACTAAGTTTGTACATTTTGAAAATGTAAGTACTATATATTGTACCCACTGGATACCAATTGACTATAGGATACCCGATGGGGATGGGCATGGGCGTCAATTTGTGACCACATACTATGGATATTGAAATGGATGGGTATAGAAAGTTGTTGTGGGTATGAGTTTGGGAAGAAGAGGGTTGTAGCCACCTATACCCTACCCATTGCCATCCTTATCGGGGATGGAGGACCAGCTAGTCTACTGGTGCCTCCTCAAGCGGGTGCGGTGGCCTTCTCGCAACCACGGCTCGAGCTCGACCACCCACGCCAAAGCACTGCACAAAGCATTTTATCCCTTCCGTGCAATCAGCATCCTGCTCAACCCCGTCGCTTCAATTTTTCAGTTAATTATCTGCAATTGCCATGCCATGACCCAGTAAAGGCACAACAAAATTTTGTGATTACATTCCCTTTAACTCTTGTTAATTCTATCAGCAAATGCATGTCATCGAAGAAGCATATGTTTGCCATGACATGTTCCCATGGCAACTAATAGTTTAGATGTCAACTTATGTTTTTGATCCTGACAACTTCACATTATGTGTGTAGTTAGTGCTTGTAGCAGTTTAGAGATAGAAAGTTTTCATGTGAGCAACTTTGTCATCGCTTCATCAATGAGGTGATAATCATGTATGTGCCAAACGTTCATGGTGAATGTCACTGGTTTTTCGACGAGTGCTCATTATCGTGCACTGTTTGTTTACTTTCACCTCATGGTCGAACTCTTCTTCTATATGTTGATGACATGATCATCACTGTCGATGACCTTGAGTGCTTTTGTTAAGGCACGTCTTTGTGAGTAGTTTCTCATATCTGATCGTGGCCTTATCCACTACTTTCTTGGGATTGAGGTTTCCTCTACCTCAGATGGCTTCTTTCTTTCCCCCAAAAAGTATATCCAGGATCTTCTACTCATGAGCGCACTCTATCCCTATCCCTCAAGTGGATAGCCACACAACCAAAAGCATCCTCAGGGAAACTGGCTATCCCTATCCCTCAAGTGGGTAGCCACACAACCAAACACCACCTTACTCATGCTACTCCTACTCATGAGCGCACTCTTGAGACTCCCATGGAGCTCAATGTTCACCTCCATGCTTTTGATGGTGATCCCTTCTCTGATCCGACATTTTATCGTCGTCTTGTTGGGAGCTTTGTCTATCTCGCTGCCACTCATCCGCATATCTCTCATCATGTCTATATTTTGAGTTAGTTTGTCTCTTCCCCCACTTCGTTTCACCATGGTCACCTTCTTCGTGTTCTACAATATTTCGTGGCATGATCTCTCATCATTTTTTTCTTTTCCCTCTCCAGTTCCTTACAGTTTCATGACTATCCGGATGCTATGTGGGCTAGTGAACCCTCGGATCGTCATTCACTTTCTACTTACTGTATTTTTCTTGGTGGTTCTTGACGGCAGATGCGACTTGGTTATGGTGGTTACTCTAGAAGTTTGGTATGTCCGTTACTACACCGGCTATAGTATTGAAATGCAGTACATGTCTATCAGTATTGCGTCTGGAATATCTTTACATCGGAGCTAAGGTAGTCATTTGATTCCCTAAAAGATATCTAAGTAACTAGAACAATGCCCGTGCGTTGCAACGGGATATAAATATTCTAGTATGTTAGCTTCTGATTTACTTGCCCATAATATGTGATTGTGTAAATAAATGTTCATTAAATTATGTCCAAAATTTATCTTATATTTTGATCAGAAGTGATTTATCTGCCCATGGTATGCGATTGTATACATAAATGTTCATCAAATTCTGCCCATGATTTACCTTATATTTTGGTAAGTACATTAAACTGAAATTAGTTCAGAAGGTATGTAAACTAAGGTGATTGATTATTACACGGAGAAGGTTGGACGAAGGGGTGGTGGGAATAAAGGAGAAACGGGAACCTTACGTTCTTTTTAGGTAGTATATAGAGATATTTTGATCAGAAGTTTGGTAAGTAAATTAAAGTGAAATTAGTTCAGAAGGTACGTTAATTAAGGTGATTGATTATTATACAGGATAGTGTTGGACGAAGGGGTGGTGGGAATAAAGGTGAAACAGAACCTTACATTATTTTTAAGTAGTAGAGATTTGATCAATGTTTGGCTATAATCAATTGTGCAGCTTTCTGTACAACCCGTCTTCAAAAAAGAAAAATATTAATAGTTACAATCATTAGCTATGTACATATTCACATGGTGCTTCTTGATGTTTGCTAGAGCTTCTGTTTCCTTGGCAAAGGTCACTATGTACACCACCAGCAGGCTCTGATTATGACAAAATGAAAATTGTCAGTACCGGTAGAACAGACAGTGAAACAATGACAAATTGCAGCATGACAGTAGTTAGTAGTGACTGATTTGGCAGAGCACCTCCCTTTGCTTCAGGAAAAAAGCAGAGGACTTCTCAGTTCTAACCTGTTATATCGTGTTCTTTTTGTTTGCGCGGAACATGAGAAGACGATCTCTGTATTGAGCTGAAATTGTAACACGAGAAAAAATATTACCCATTATTACAAGGATTACACAAAACATAACTGTTAATTAATCTTTGTTGATCAAACGTGAAAAAATTGCAACACAGGGAACGCGTAAATTTTATCTGTGCAAGTCATGAGCAGCTTACCGGCATCTTTATAGCGTTCCTCAACAGCAGCAATAAGCATACCACGCACCAAATCAAACTCCTGGGCTTCGAAGCAAGGCTGGTCACCAGGCCTACAACAAAATGATAATGATGTGAATGTGTGCTTGGAGAAACACTTAATTCTGACAGGAACCTATGGAAGTTATTTTTGCCATCTTACTTGTCCAGTCTTGTGTACTGGATTTGGTCAGAGTTCACGTAACTCCCGGTTGGCTTTGGTTGTACAACTTTCAGACCGTTGTTGTATGCGATACGCTTATTGACTTGTATAGGAACCTGAGGGCAAAGATAGAGCAATTTGAATTAATAAGTATAATAAGGTTCCATGAAGAAACAGAGCACCAGTTTCGTACTTGAGGAATTCTGTTTCTTTCGACAAAGGGTAATTTATTAATATCAAGATGATATCAGTTACGCCAACAATATTAAGACATAGTCAGAGACTTTGAGGATGCACATAGCCAAAAAATATGACAACATGGAGGAGAAAGATAAAGGGAGCCGACGCGAACAGCAACACGCAACAAGTAAACTGGCAGCAACACCATTTACTGCCCTTGACTTACACGGATGGCGAATGGCTTTCTCTACTCACAAATCATACTATTCAGATCATCTATGGTGCACAACCGTTAAGGTTGCAAAACAAGATCTTCGAAAATACAAAATAGAAGTTTTGGTGATTGGGCGAGAAATCGGTAACTCTGTTTTTTCCTGTTGTCTGTACAATGTTCAATAGAGTATATACATTACAAATCCCATCAGGCCAAAGAGGTTAAGACAACAGCTTCAGTTGCGAGCAATACCTATAGTTGAAAACCAAAATATTATGAGCAGTTACTCAGTAACATAGATAAATGCATACCTTGCACCGGAAAGCAATGTTGATGGCATCTGATGGCTTGAGATCAAAACTAATAGTCTCTTCTTCATTTCCAATCTGGATACCATGATGTTGTACTTAATTACTTCAGAGGTGATCATAATTCTTATTCAAATGACGGTGTATTTTCAAGTGGTGTTACCTTTGCAAGATACAATCTAGAATAGTAAGCATCATGCACCATTTCTGTAATCCGCACCAGACGTACCTAGAAAAGGAGTATATAATCAAAGTACTGGATATAGATACTATTATTATCAAAAGAATACATATATACCAGAAAATATGTAGTTCCGACTATTTCGTATTAGACTCACCGTATATCCCATCATTTCAGTCATCTCCTTTACCACATTATAAATCGTTGGCCTTGGCTAGAAAGTCCCAGTAATGCAACGCAGTTCAAAAACAGAAAAAGAAAACCCGGTTAAAACCGTAATTATATTATGTGGGTGCTAATTAGTATCTGGAGAATTTATTTTGTAGCTAAAGCAGCAAAGTCTTACAATCCGAATGTTCCGAAGGGCGGCCAGTAGCATGATACTTGGTGTCTCCACTGGAAGAGGCAGCGTGGGCACATATCAGTAATACTAATTGCGCAATCAGAAAAGCATATGTAGAATTGCAAAATGTGTCCAGGCAAGGCAAGAACAGGTACATACTGACAATAATGGGGAGCAGAAGATCGCTTCCATCTTCCATCTTGAGCACGATAGCATGGTGAGGCGTGGAATCGCGCAGCCTTAGCACGCGGGGATTGTTCTGGACACATCTAAGGTTCCTTCCGTCGCGCATTCTTATCACAAAACCATCCGACACGCATCTGAGCTCGACTGCGAAAACAGATAGTACAACCAATCACTGAACCCGCCAAAGCGAACTACTAACCAGAAGCCAAAATTACTCAGAATCCTTGTAATAGCACAAGAAACTTACCAGCCTCCATGACGCTGGAGTCGACGAACTCCTCGCCGCTGGCGTCGAAGTTCGCCGGCGGGGCGCCGTCCCCGTCGGACGACGAGCCGTAGCCACAGCGAACAGGCCAGGAGCTTGTGCCGTGCATGTGCTGCTGGGTCGGGGCGCCGAAGAACCTGGGCGACACGCCGTCGTAGCCGTCACCTGGCGAGACGCCGCCACCGCAAGAAGCCCTCCTCCGCATGCGCACGCGCCTCAGCAGCTGCCCGCCGATCCGAGAGCCGGAGGTGAGAGCAGGCGCAGCGCAGCGCGGCAGGATCGGCCCGCGGATGACCTCCATCCCCTTGGATTATCAAGAGCAACACCGAAAGAACGTTGGGATCGACCACCGAGATCAGAATATCCGATCACCGGCGAGATGATGAACGGAAGAAGAGGGGGCGATCAGCTGAGCTTACCGGCGCTAGCTGCCGGATGGAGAATGGATGGGGTGATCCGCGCCGAAGAAATGGTGATCTTTTTGCTGGGAGAACCGGCTCGAATTTTTTCAGCCAATTGTTAGTGAGATCCTTATCGCTAAGCGTAAGCTCTCCGGTTTTATGGCCGAGAAGCGGTTGGATGCCGTCGCCGTGAAGTTACACTCTCGCCCGTATGACCTGTTCGTCAGATATTTTTTTTTGAACGAAAGGGACCTTCCCCCGTCCCATTTTATTGAAAAACGAGGCAGGCAAATCCTCGGAACAGCCTGGGCATTCGGGTTTTTGGGTTTTTCCGTTTTGGTTAATTCGGTCTGTGGGTATTTCGGGTTTACAAAAAATGAGAACCGAATATGCCTTTGCCTACATGGATGACCGAACATATATAGACCGAAAAAGATCATCCGGTTTTTTCGGGTACCCAAAAAAAGTGATCTTCTGCGAAGGCAGGCAGCGACTCCGTGCCAGCGACGTGGCGGGAGACGATAGCCAAGATAGGGGGTGAGGGGATGAGAGGCGGGCAACACCGCGCCCACGCATTGTGGTAGCAGGCCAAAGATGCGGCCGCAGGTCACGGATAGGCGACGATTTACTAGGAATGCTTGAGCGGAGCGAGGCCATGAATAGTCGAGTAGTTGAGCATGATGATGATCTAGGGCTCGACTGGTTCGGCCGCCAATTTTCTTCAAAAAATTCTTGTTGTTTTCTTATATTTTCGTTCTTTTTTATTTTGGTCTACTTTTTTTTCTCATTGATTTTTTTCATTTTCTTACTTCGGTTTTTTACTTTTGGGTTTCTTTGTTTCTTTTTTTTGTCTTCTTTCTATATCTTTGTTGGCTTCTTATTAGTTTTCTTTCTTTTGAACACAGATCTACTTTGCTTTCTTAGTTTTTTTTTCTAATGGACTTATTATTGGATTTTTTGTCATTTTTTCTGTTTTTCACCCTTTTTCTTTGATTTTCCTTTTTTTTTCATTGTAATTTTTTCGGTGATTTTTTCCTTTTTTGGTTATACTTTTGGTTTCTTTGTTTCTTCTTGGTTTTCTTTGCTTTACCTTATGCCTCTTTTTTGTTTCTTCGTTGAGAGACTTGGTTTTATTTTTTTTCTTTCTTAGTTTTTTGGTTTTTATTTTTTTAACACATGTCAATTAGCAATATGTTTCTTCGTCCTTTTCTTGTTTCTTTTTGTGTTTCTGTTTTTGCCTTTTATCCTAGTTTCCGTGGTTTTTTTGATTTTTTTAGCTTTTCGTTGTGGTTTAATTGAGTTTTTTGGAACTCGTGTCTACTTTTCCTCGGTATACAATGTACATTTATAGAGCACACATGAAACATTTTCCTGATACACATTAGAAAATTTTCAAACACAAGAAGTGTTTTACGAATACGTGGTAACATTTGTCCAAATATATTTTTTATAGACTTTAACATGATTAACATTTGCTAGATTTACAGAAACATTTTTTTGCCAATAAACATTTTTCCGCAAAATGATTAACATGTTCTAGTTTTCTTTTTTCACTTTTTTTTACATTTTTTGTGTGCATGAAAAAAACTTTTCTTACACATTATTAACATTTTTAGCATAAAATTTTCATACACACGATTAATATTTTTCGCAAAATGATAAACATGTTCTACTTTTATTTGTTTAAATTCTGTACATTTTTATGTGCAGAAAAAAATATTTACTATACAAATGATTTACAAATTTCGCAGTCATGAATCAGTTTTTGAATTACACAAACATTTTTTTTTACAATGTATTAACATTTTTTGTACATACGAATAAATTTTGACATTCATTTTTCACATTTCATACTGATTTCGTGGCCTTGGGTGCTAATATATCTCGCCTTCAGCGAGTCCAACTTCCGTCATGCGCAGGAGGCCATAGTTTCTTTTTTCCCCCTTTTTTGTATGTTTTCTGTTTTGATTTTTTTGCTCTATTTTTATACATTTATTTATACTTTAAAATATTCTAAATATATATATTACAAATACCGCTCCACAAAAATATTTGAGAAATGTTGAAAAAGTATTTCAAAAATGTTAATCAGGCATTCAGAAAATGTTTAATGTGTATAGAAAATTATTGATCACGTATTAAAATTTATTTATTTTTTAATCATATATATAAAAATGTTAATCAAGAACTTGAAAACATGTTGGACAAGTATTTTGAAAAATGTTAATCAAGCATTTAGAAAGTTTTAAACACGTATAAAAATGTTGACAATGTGTTAAAAAATGTTGGCAATGTATTAAAAAATGTTAATCAAGCATTTGAATAATGCTACTCTTTTTATTTGAACAAGTGTTTGAATAATGCTTATCTAGTGTTTGAATAATGCTAATCTTTTTATTTGAAAATTGTTAATCAATCATTTTAAGAAATGTATAGAAAATATGTTGACCATGAATTAAAAGAATGTTCGATTTGTAAATGAATAATGTTAATTAAGTATTTCAAAATGGGAAAAATGTTGAGCATATATTAAAAAATATTTCATTTATATTGGAAAAATGTTAAACGTGTATAAGAGAAATGTTGTTCGCATATGCACAAAATGTAGAATGAAAACCCAGAGAATAAAAGGAAACCAAAAAAACAAAAAAGAAACAAAAAAAATGAAACTGGAAAATGAAACCAAAGAAAAAAAAAGCAAAAACAATGAAAATGAAAATAAAAAACCAAAGAAGAAATAAGAAAAGAAGCAGAGGAAAAGAAGTAGAAAAACCTGTTAATCAAGCATTTAAAAAAATATATTCCGCGCTCTTCTTAAACTGGAAAGCCGGTGAAACCCGGCGAATTTCCTTCAAATATTTCGCCTTGTCTTAGTGGCTACCAGCACCACGAAGAAACTAGCAGGAGTTTGAATCCCACACACATATCTTTTTGAAATCACTGATTAAGAAGCATTGTTTGCAAAACTCATTCCCACATCCCTAGACTGTGACAACTACTACCTCCGTCTAGGTGTGTAAGTCATCTTATGAAAACCAAATAATTCCAAAACACTTAGGCGCTGTGCATTAACTTCTACCTCGTTTCTTGTTTCTTGACATATCAACCAATAAGAGATGAGGGGTGTGGATGCTTTTAATAACTTGAGACTACCAAACACGACATGCAGTGGTTAGTTCATTGCATGCAATGCTATTAATTAGCAAATAAACATTAAGGTCTCTCGTTTTCCCCTCCTCCTTGGTCACGGTGCAGAACCTAAGATGACTTACTCACCTAGACGGAGGGAGTAGTAGATACCCCGCGCGTTGCTGTGGAAATATGTAGTCTTTCTGAGCTTCTCTTTGTTGGGGAACGTAGCAGAAATTCAAAATTTTCCTACGTGTCACCAAGATCTATCTATGGAGAAACCAGCAACGAGGGGAAGGAGAGTGCATCTACATACCCTTGTAGATCGCTAAGCGGAAGCGTTCAAGAGAACGGGGTTGAAGGAGTCGTACTCGTCGTGATCCAAATCACCGGAGATCCTAGTGCCGAACGAACGGCACCTCCGCGTTCAACACACGTGCAGCCCGGTGACGTCTCCCATGCCTTGATCCAGCAAGGAGAGAGGGAGAGGTTGGGGAAGACTCCGTCCAGCAGCAGCACGACGGCGTGATGGTGGTGGAGGAGCGTGTCAATCCCGTAGGGCTTCGCCAAGTACCGCGGGAGAGGAGGAGTACTTGGGAGAGGGGGAGGGTTGCGCCAGAACTTGGGGTGCGGCTGCCCTCCCACCCCTCCACTATTTATAGGTGGGGAGAGAAGGGGGTCGGCCCCACTAGATCCCATCTAGGGTTAGGGCGGCGGCCAAGGGGGGAGGAGTGCCTCCCAAGTCAAATGGAGGCCCTCCCCCTTAGGGTTTCCCCTTTCCCATGCGCATGGGCCTTGGGGGGGCTGGTGCCCCTGGCCCATTAAGGCTAGGGCGCCCCCCTACAGCCCATGCTGCTGTATTGGACATGGTGGAACATTTTCCGGACCTCCGGACCCCTCCGGAATCCTCCGGAACCTTCTGGAAGCTTCCCGGTACAATACCAGAAAAAACCGAACTTTTCCCGGAACCCGAACAACAACTTTCCATATATAAATCTTTACCTCCGGACCATTCCGGAACTCTTTGTGACGTCCGGGATCTCATCCGGGACTCCGAAAAACATTCGGTAACCACGTATATCTATTCCCTATAACCCTAGCGTCATCGAACCTTAAGTGTGTAGACCCTACGGGTTCGGGAACCATGCAAACATGACCGAGACGTTCTTCAGTCAATAACCAACAACGGGATCTGGATACCCATGTTGGCTCCCACATGTTCCACGATGATCTCATCGGATGAACCACGATGTCGAGGATTCGATCAATGCCATATACAATTCCCTTTGTCTAGCGGTATTGTACTTGCCCGAGATTTGATCGTCGGTATGCCGATACCTTGTTCAATCTCGTTATCGGCAAGTCTCTTTACTCGTTCTGTAACACATCATCCCGTGATCAACCCCTTGGTCACATTGTGCACATTATGATGATGTCCTACCGAGTGGGCCCAGAGATACCTCTCCGTTAACCGGAGTGAAAAATGCCAGTCTCGATTCGTGCCAACCCAGCAGACGCTTTTGGAGATACCCGTAGTGCACCTTTATAGCCACCCAGTTACGTTGTGACGTTTGGTACACCCAAAGCATTCCTACGGTATCCGGGAGTTGCACAATCTCATGGTCTAAGGAAATGATACTTGACATTAGAAAAGCTTTAGCATACGAACTACACGATCTTTGTGCTAGGCTTAGGATTGGGTCTTGTCCATCACATCATTCTCCTAATGATGTGATCCCGTTATTAACGACATCCAATGTCCATGGTCAGG